TCAATTCTCATGAGCAGGTAGGAACTAACTGTAGTATATCACTATTTTATTTTCAATTTTTATTGATCTACTCTCAGAGCTACATTTTGGACCTGAGGCTTTCCCTTTGAAATGTTAACTCAATGTAGGATGTTCCTACCACAATTTTCTGCCCCTGTCTCTGTCTTCCTTCCTTTTAGACAACCATAGAAAAGATTAAGGAAAAAGGGTATAGCTCCCCCAACTTTTCACTCCTATATCAAAAGCTTAGCAAGGACTCTCACACTTTTCCTAAAATTTCAAAGCAGAACTTGTCCTTTCTCATTCTAAAGAATAGTATGTCCTTCTGTCCTCCTTGACTGCAATTCCTTCTTCCCTGTCTGGGGTTCTGGCACATCATATACTCTCTCATCTGATAAATTTGCAAACACTAATGCAACCAGCTCCTTTCCCAATAGTCTGTAAACATGTTCAAATATATCTTCTTAAATAATAAAAACATCCCTACCTAACCAGAGAGTAAAAACAAAATCTTGGGCTGGCCGTCTAGGTCAGTGGGTTAGAGTGCAGCCTTATAACATTAAGGTCACACGTTTGGATCCTGTACCAAGCCAGTCACCAAAAAATAAACAAATAAAAAATAAAATCTCTTTTTACATGGCAAAACTGCATTCTTGCCCAATTTCTCTTTTTCCCTTCTAAGTTCCTTGAAAAAATAGTCTATTCCCTCACCCACTTTTACTGTTTCTTTTTAGATTTTTATTAAAAAATTAATACAAATTTAATGTAGAAAAACTTCAAATTTTAATATAAAGATGAATATGAAACAGAACCAACAAAATATCAGAATATCAGGTATAATACCATCCAGTGGCTGCATCATTGGTATTTTAGCAAATTTCCTTCCAGTCTTATTTCTAAACCTGTGTGTGTGTATCTGCTTTTAATGTTGTATTAGATTATATGTAGAGAATTGTAGTATTTTTCCTATTTATCATTATATCATGGACATTGCTCAATTAATATAAACTCTTTTTTAAAAACTTGGTTTTAGTGTTTACATTATATTTTAGTGAATAAATACATCCTAATTTATACAACTGTTCACCTATTCCATTCACTGAACAACCCCATGAAATGAAGCTTCAACCCCAAGGACGTCCCTGAACAATGACCCTCTATTTGCTACATCCTGTGGTGTCATTCCTTTCCCCATCTTACTTGAACTTTCTGTGACAGTTGACAATGCTAATACACTTCCCTTTTCCCCAAACAGTTTACCTTGCCTATATCACATTTTTATTATCACTTTTATGTAATTTCTTTAAGCCATTTTTCTCAGTGAACTTTGCTTGCCTCTCTTCTCTACACCTAAAAGTTCTGTCCTTTGTACCTTATTCTTGGATTTTTCACCCACACCATGACTTGAAATAACATTTACACACAAAAAAATCTGAACATGTAAAAGTAATGTTTTTCTTTTCTTAAAGATTTATTTGTTTTACAATTGTCATAGGTAAGAAAGTTTTTTCCACTGTTTCATCTTTTGGAGACTCAGAATGTCTAGTTACACCTTTGAGAAAGATAAAGAAGAGATCATATAATTGTCACTGGGTCCCACATGACAGAATCACCTTCAGGAATCAGGTGAATAAAAACTTGGGACTCCAAAGTGGAGGTAGGAGATATTTTACTCAGACATATTTGACTCAGCAAATAGCAATCTTTTTAATAGTTAGAGAAAAATATGGTCAATTTTACATACCAAATCACCGATTTATCAAGATGTAGTTTGAAGAAACATTTTTGACC